TCGGTAAAAGGAGAGTTCGATTACAGTAGCCGTCTTGCACAGATAGTAGTGAACGGAGCGTCGGCCGTCGATCAACTACTGATAAGCGGTGAAGTGCGTCAGCATTTATACTCTTGCCATCGAATGTTCTAGCGTTATCGCTGGCGGTGGCGTAGGTTCCAGAATAATCTGTACAGTTCGCAGAGGGGGCGTGATCTTATCGAAATGATCTACTAAAGTCCGGAAGCTTCTCGAAAACTGCAAGCGCATTTTGCGCTGAGAATTGCGTAGTGTTTTGGAGCGATCACAAAACTTGAGAAATGGAACGTGGCAAAATTTGTGAACTCCATTCAGGTGTGACATATTTGCTATTCTCATATATCTTGCATGATTTGATGACCTTGAATATTCGTGTTCTCTATGGCTTCCTGGCTGTATGAAGCAGTAGTTTTGCCATATTTTTTCTTTCGCCCGAAATTTTAGCAACAGTGTCTTAGCCACAGCTTTTGGTCTCATTGCCTCCCCTCACAATGGTGAAAAATATAAAAGAATATGCTGTTTTGTGAAATCTATCAAACATAAAAGTACAGTTATGCATGTATGCTATGTTGATAGGCTATGCAAGGAACTGATTCATTTTTCATTTAAGTACACTTTCACAATGATTTTAGGCAGATATAATTTTGCAATTTAGAAAGAAAATCTATAGTTGCATGCTAACGTTATTTGAAAATTCAGAACAGAAGCATACCAAAAATTTGGAACTTTCGCTACCTGGTACGCAATATGACACCGGCTGAAAAATTATTAACAGAACAAAATAATATAAGCTCAATGTATCACTCATACTATGCATTGTAAACGTGCAATATATAGTTTCTCAGTTTCCTTAATGTTTCTGGTACACCACAGCTGGAAAGCACTGTGCTGATGGCAACGTAAAGTGGCAGAGAGAGTTTTACTGAGAAAAAAGTGGAATGCATTCATCCTATTAACCCTCAAAATGTTAAGAAATTGATGCTCAGCAGTGGAGCTTCCTCCACAGCAACAAAAAACCTGCATTGAACCACAGTGCATGCACACGCCATCTCTCCAGCATTTCGCTCATGCACTGTGTCATGGCGAAATTCGGTACCAATGCAGTGAACAGCTATAGGCCACTGTTTGCAACATGTGTTGCATATAAGACTCCATGAGTAACAAGGTTTGGGGAAAACTGTTTCATTGCCTTTTTTTGAGTTGCCAATGCGTGATTTGACACTCTGAATTACGATCTTTCCAGTGACATAAAAGAAATGTACATTAAAAATTGGTTGGCTGAAGGAAATAATCAGGCCCTCGAAATCCACAGAACCGTTAAGAAAGGGTAAATATTCATTGGTACAAGCACATTCCTGGAGCTAAGTAGCCAGCTGCGCTACACAACTTCTCAAGTCTTTTCTTATAATGTGCCAGTGCGGACGCTGTGTATCATACTGTTGCACAAGTTTTCCTTTTATTTTGGTGTACTTAACATTTTAGCACATTAGTAAACTGTAAAAACATATGCAGTTTTACGAAGAATGACTGTTGAATCGAACGAAACAAAATAAATTTGGAATATTAAATCACTGAATATTTCTACAGATTGAATCACACTTGTCTAAAACACCCAGCCGACCACTTTAGTTGCCCTTTTCTGCAGAAATATGTTAATGCCGACGCCGCATGAATATTCAACATGGCACACGGTGTGCTAGACCTTCGTGCGACAAAAATAAGCGTGAACAGAAGCATGTAGCTAAGGTGACATAGAAACCGTCGCTAACAAGAACCATGCGCTCCGCTGCTCTGGACAAGTGTGATTCCACCTGTACAGCTGCAGTGTTTGCATTTTTTTGGTGCATGAAATTCTCCATGTCCACTTTACATCTGGTCCATGATATAAAAACATGGGAAGATGGAAATAAAAAGAATAACAAATAAAACCTTCTAGGTCTGAGTGAGAATAGAAGCCAAGCTGCTTGTGTGGCAAGCAGGCATTCTACCACAAAGCCACGTGCCTGCTCAAAAATAAGTTTCATGCTTTACAAATACACACGTCTTGTATACATGCTTCACAATACAACATGTATTATCACAGTATTTTTTATTGCCACTGGCTATCAGAACGTGTGATTATCCTAATGACTTCATTGTTTAAAGCCAGCCACTAATAACAAAAGGCACAAACGCTACTGGAGTATTCTCTTAGGACCACGTAGTGAGTGCATAACAAGTTTAAAAATATTTCATGCACATAGTTGCTCGTGGTGTAAAGCATACTACCCAGTGCCTGTATTGCATGGTATATCCTGTGTCCCATCTCTGCGGTCTTCGAAGTAACTATGTGTACGTATCAACGAGCTCGCTTTGCCGCCATTTAAAAATCCATTACACAGAAAGCAGCTATATGCGAAACCCTTACTGGCACAAGCCACTTTAAACATTGATTACGTAGTAATAATCTGCAGTATAAATTTTTCAAGTAAGGTTATCACGTAAAAGGAATGCAATAGGTGGTTGGAGTATGCGCTAGGGATAGGATATCACTGTCGTGTTCTACTCGAACCTTAAGGGTCCCCTAATTTTTTCACCAAACAATTGTAAGATTCATATATAATAATGTTCCACAAGCATGGCTTTGTAAGTAATCACCCTTTTGGTCTATACTGGAAGAGTGGAGGGGGTGCTGTTAGGAGTGGTTTCACAGGTTGTTAAGAGTGGATGGACAAATCTGACAGATCCTTCTGCAAGTATGCAAATATTATGGCATGTCAGTTCAGATTAAATACCTGACAAAGATCACAGGCAGGGGTCCTGATAGATTTGGACTCTTGAAGGCATTTCATGCTAGGAAGAAGTGATGTGTCATTGACAAATTTGTTGAAACTTAGAAGGTCAGAAAAGTTTTTCAAGCATATTTTTGTGACGTTTCTCGACATTACATTACGACATTACACTTCCACACTGCACATGTGTCTGTTTCCTAACATATTTGCTAGCAAAGCCACAACAGGGTGTTCATCAATTTCATTTTTTTTCAAATTTCCTGGCTTTTCCAGGTTTTTCACCGCAATTAAAAGGCAACTCCACGACCATAATGTCTGCTTGGAAAACCGTGTAGTGGAAAGAAGACTTAAGCGGTAAAAAAATAAAATATGAGGCACTCATATAAGCAAATGGTTATATTTTGCACACACACTCATACTGTTGTGAGTGTATGTCGTAAATTAAAAAAAAAATGTGTGTATGTGGTCAAAATAAAACCCGTGACCCAGGCACTGAGGAAGTTGGCTGTTTGATTTTTGGAACAACCAGGACACAACCACACAAATAAAATCAACTACAGATGCAAGTTTAAGGAGCCTGCGATTGTCCAACATTGCAGTCAATGCTGCTAGGAAACGTAGAAATGGCGCCATCTCGCGGCATTCATATAAAACCAGGATGCGGCAACCCGGCAAGTTGGCTTACTGGAGCACATTCTAGTTCATTATAATGGCTATATCCTGCAGGCCATTTAGGATCCGATTAGATTACCTTGACCTAGACTGCTGTATTTACTAATAATTTGCATCCCCGTCTGATTTGTAGACGTCTAAAATATACTTTTCAGTAAAAAAGCGTATTTACGCATTTTATGCAACCTTGTATTGACAACGACTAAAAACAACGTCGCGAGAACGAAACCGTACAGCAATTTTTTTTTATCCTTTCTTTCACTCTCTCGCTTTTTTTTTACACAATGCACACATGCTTGTTGGTGTTTTATTTCTCTGGGTTCTGACACGTGGAGAACAATGAAAGTTCTCAGACTTCTGCAATAAAAGCTGGGATAGCGTTTGAAGTGCTGATGCTTTAATATGGGGAGAAAAAAAGGAATCTGTCAGGCCGCAAGAGCTTCCCCGATTCCATAGCTAAATAAAATATGCAGAATCGCGAGTTAGGCAAATCGGTGAATGTTTACCGTAGAAAAAATTACAAAGGAACGGGTTAGAAGCAGTCGGAGAGGGTCACAGCTGATTTCACAACTGAAATTGATTTGGAAAAGGAAAGAACATATATAGAAAATATTGACTCATTAAAACTGTGCACATGTACACATGTGTTACAACACAGAATGATTCATGTCTTCTCTAATGGTGTTTTTCACTGGGAGATTCAGAGCGACCGCCGAAATCCCGGAGCGAGCACTCGGATCGCACGAAGCCACCTCTGCCAGTGAAACACGAGAATGCTCCGTGAGAGGTGCCCCGGAAGTTGATTATGCATACGTCACGCAAACCGGTTCCGGAAACAGTTTATTTTTCCGCTCTCTTCGTTTCCTTGGCAACTTTGGCCGCCACTGCAGGGCGCGCATTTCGACCACGCAGTTAAAGCTTTGTAGAACACTTTAACGCAGTCGCGAACAGCAGTTGTGTAGCAAGTATGGACGAGCACGCGGAATTGACACCGGCTGTGCGTCGGCTGTTGCTGGGCGTTTTCAGAAACAGCGGCAACGATCTGAACGGTAAGTGCGACGTACTTGACGCTGATAATAAACTCTGCACGGAATGCTAACTTTGATAGCTCCGCATGAAGACTGGTCAGATAATTGTAAAGCATGCGGGTACACGTGGTAACGGCCGCAATCGGCGCTCGCAAAAATACGGCATGTTGTGAGCAGGCTTTTTTTTTTAATCAGAGCAGTTGCTTACCCAACACCTTACAGTCCTACTATTTAGAATATCACAAGCGCCGGAATTTTCGCAGCGCTCACCAAGCTGCTGTATTACCTTTAATAAAAATGCATGGCGATCTCTGTATTCGCGCATGAATACATGCATGAAAAATTTACTAGAGAAGTAACGTTTTCTTGGTGATTCTTGACCTCTACTCTTTTGGTGTTAACCCGCAAATGTCTTTTCTTTTTCTCTATTTGAAGGTGCTACACAGTGTGACGCCACCGACGCTTTGTCACATACAAAGGGCGCATTTTTAGGAAATGGTAAATTGGTCTACATGTGTCTCTGTAGAACTAGTTTTGTATACAGTCGTCTATATATGTAGAGGACAATGCCTTGACGAGCAACGTGTAAGGACTACTTGAAGAAAATTGTGTACCTGCTTAAAATTAACACATATTAACATACTACAATGCTTTTCAATTATCAAACACAGATTCTGCAGCGTCTACTGGTGCGTCACCAAGTCGGGCTTGTCAGCCAGGGACTCCTGCACGTGGTAAGCATGCATACACAAACATGCTAGTGGCATTAGGATGAAGATAGGTCCAGCAGATTGCAAACCCTCTCAAAAAAACCACGAATTACGCAAAACCATTTAATGGCTTCTTGCTCACGCTTCTCAATATTGGGTGCTTAAATAATAAAATTGAATTCAACGAATAGTCAGCTGCACGAAGAGGCCCCATATTTATTATGCAGTGTTTTCAAATTTACTCTCTAAGAAAATTATGCTGTGAATAAGTTATGTATAGTAATATTATGAATTTGCATGATTGTCTGTTCTGATATGCAAAGCGATCCCCACAGCACCCAATATTTGCTGTGCCAAAACAGTGTGACAGTACTAATGCTTTACAGTAAGTGTTCTATGGCTCAGAGAGCATATAGCTTCGTGCCCTGTATCAAAAAAGTCTATTAATGCCAGTTTATATGTATTTTATGTGTGTATAATGCATATTTCAGCTGCAGGGTGTGAGTGGACGAGTGGCGAGACGAAGCTGCTGCTGGACCTCTACGCCTCATATTTCCCTCAAGTTGGCCCTCTGAAAAAATTTCGCAACAAAAAGGCCATGTTTGAAAAAATTGCAACAGACATTAATAATAAACTGGGTGTAATGAGAACTGGTGAGCAGTGCTGCTCTCGGTACAAAACCGTACTGAAAAGAAAAAATGTGGCAGCTGGGAAAAATAATACGTCTGGCTGTTCCCCACAAGAAGTCCCCTACGAGGCCGAGCTTGAAAAAATCAAGTGGCTGGACGACAGCTTGGAACCAGAAGTGGTACGCGACGCAAGTGGAGTGGTATCAAAAAAGACATGTCCACAGTCATCCACCGAGTCTGTTCCACTTGCTGGTTCAAGCTCGTCAACGTCACACTCTCCATCCAGCTCCGTTGGGCAGGACGACACTCCTGATTCAAAAAGAAAACGCCCGAATTCAGCACGCGAGCTCCACCTGCAAACCTTCTTTGAAAAAATGAAGGAGTTAGATGAACGGCGAGCAGAGCGAAAGGCTGAAAGAGACAGCAAGAGGGAAGAGCGACGACTTGCTAAAACACAGCGACGAGAAGAAATGCACAAAGAAAAGATGAATCTTCTCCGTGAAATTTTCAACTTGAAGAAAAATGAATAAAATGTGAAAAGCATGTTTATTGTAAGCATTGTACACATGTGCACGTTGGCAGGCGCATTGATAACAGATTGACAATGTTTGTTGTTGAGGTGAAATAAGGGTTCCAGGGCCCTTTTACAAGACAAAGTTGCAATGATCATTATAATTTCACGCCGTTTTGATGGTAAGAAAAGCTGAACAAAGACTAAGAAATGCAGAACGTTTGTCCATGCAAATTTTCATCAGGCAAATGAAATGTTAATGCACAAGCAATAACCAAATTGCATGACAAAGAAGCCATTTCTCACAGCAGCAGTCACCATGCCTAAAGGACCCCTGACAAATTTTTGTTTTGACTTGAATGCTTTAATTAAGAGCATTGTGTCCGGTAGTCCCCAAACTTTGATCATAAATATTGCAATGTACTGTGTAATTAATGCAAGAATGGCTCCTTGTGACTAATTTTGGCATCACTGTAAAACTACTACTGGAATCACAAAAAATTACACAGCGAACAATCTCAGGAGTCATAAGACTATGTAGACTCGGGCTTTTGTGACGTTCAGAGCGCACTTTTTGAATTTGGGCACCATGCGTGGGAAACAATGAGTCGGGATGGGTGTTCATTACGAATATTCCTCGAAGCGACAGGTTTAACTGACAAGCATAGTGCCCCAACTGCAAGACAAACAACACAAACATTTCAAGCTCGTAATTTTGGTGACATTGTTCCATTAACACAAATGCTCCTCAGTGTAGCCTGCACTAGCTTGGACTTATGCCAATGTCACTACATGTTTCTCAGAATGTTTGTGGTGGCTGACGAGAGCTGGAGCCCAGCTATGTTTGGCCGGTTGACTTTGTCACTTTCTCGTGTCTCACCAGCACGAAGAGTGCAGTTACTATCAATATCACCAGCTATCTTCAGCTGCAGTAGCCATACCGACCAACACGCTGCGGCGTTAGCACTAGTCAGCAATAAGCATGCTGATGGCTTCGCATAGGAAACAATTACACTGATCCAGTCAGATTCCTGCAAACATCTTGGGTTGACTCACGCTATGTGGAAGCTGCTACGTGTCACAAAGCTAAGAAACAAAAAAATCAGGCTGCGCCCTAGCAAGATGAGTCACTACAACACAGTGCGGCATGCATTTTAGCTGGTTAGTACAGTGTTTCCTGTAGAAAACAGTGCTAAAGGATGGGACAAAGCAGGGACACAACCATGGCAGAGACACAACCATGGCACTGACTAACAGCCAAATGTGTCTTATTCTTCCAGTCTAGGTATATACACTCCACCACTAATCTGAAGGGTGAGAAAAAGCAAAAAAAAGACACACACAAATGTTGGCTGACTCAGGAGGAAAGAAATGCTCAATAAGACAGGAGAGGTAACTCCTTCAGAGAGAGGGAAATATAAGGGAAACTGATGCATGTTTCGCCGCCGTTGTAAATGATACGCTTCAGAAATGAGGGGCATGCATTTATCATGATTCTATTTTTTTTTGTTTCCTTGAGATTGTGGTAAAGTATATATACGCGGATTAGAAGAATAAAACGAATTTGCTTGTTAGTCAGCGCCGTAGTTTGTGTCCTTGCTTCGTCCCGTCTTTTAGTGTTATTTTCTGCTAGAAATCTCTACAACACGAAACAAAATTTACAACACCTTAACGTTTCTTGTTTTGTGTACACGTAGGCAGTCCTAACTTTAAATCAAATGCGCATCGCTTGCATTAAGCGCTCACGCTTCTCCTCGCCTTGGCGACGCAGTGCATCTTCAGTTGATGCAAGCGGGCCATTGTTGGGGGGAACATCATCCGGTTGTGCCTCCCATTCCCACGGTGCATGTTCATCATCGATGTACGGCGGCACATCCACATCACCACAATTAATGCACATATTGTGCAAAACACAACAAGCTATAATGAACTTGTTCATTTTGTCTACAAACAGAAAGTCCAGGTGCAGCAGCTGGCGGAACCTGGCCTTGAGGTCTCCAAAGGCATTCTCAATCTTCACTCTCGTTGCCGAAAAGTGATAATTGAAGGCGCGCTGCCTCGCGTCAAGGTGACCATAATTCCTGAATGGGGTTATGAGGTAATCTCGAAGCGGGTAGGCAGCGTCCCCGAGAACGTGGTACTTCCCGGAACAGCACACATGCGGCAACTTTGAAGAAAGCCTCGATGTCCTGAAGATTCTCGAATCGTGAATCTTGCTGGGGTGTCCAGTAGTCACATCGAGAAACTTCTTTTTGTGATCACACAGAGCTTGCAGTGTCAGTGACGGATAACTGTGCCTGTTCACATAGGTTGAACGCACTTTTTTTGCAGGGCAGCGGATGCTTATGTAGGATCCGTCAATGCAACCGATCGTGTTGGGCACTCCTGACACCTGTGACAGTGAGAGAAAAAGAACACACCTGTAGTGAACTTCTTGAAGTAAATAATCTTAACACTTGATGCAGTAGTTTTGTTGGTCTTAGCGGAGTTAACTTTAGGTGACACAAGTCTTTTACATGCCAGAACTATGGAATCATTGTACGGAACACCACAGCAAAAGGCATTAGAAATTTTAAGTGCCAGGGGTCCCTTTCAGGGTGTCTACCAATTTCATATTTCTAAATTCCTTGAATTTCCCAGGTTTTCCATCATGATTCAAAGCAAATTCCATGACTGCCACGTTTGCATGGAAAACACTGTACACTGCAAACAAACCCGAGTAGAAAAAAAAAACCGGGCGCTCTATAAAGGTAAACATAATTACCAGACGCACTCAAAATGTTCTCAGGGCATGCGACAATTGTGAAAAAACATGTAAATCTGGCCAAAATAAAACCCCTGAGCTAGGCAGTGAGCAAGTCAGCTGTTTGATGTTCCGAAGAACCAGGAAGAAAACACACAAGTTAAGAGTAACCGCAGATGAAGTTTGAAGGTGTCTGCGATCGTTTGACATCGCAGTCAAAGCTGCTGAGAAACTTAGAAGTGGTGCCATTTGGTGGCATTCGTGTAAAATGAAAACACAGGAGCCTGGCCGGTTCTGCCACTGGAGTAAAATCTATTTTACTATAATGGCTGTAGCCCACGCCGGTTAGGATGTGGATTGGATTTAATTAGATCGACCTGAACTACTGTATTTACTGACTCACCTATTTATATGTAGATTAGATTAGAACTGATTCGACCTAGATTGATGTATTTACTATTGATTTGCGCCGCCGCCTAATTTGCACACCTCTAAAGTATACTTTTCAACAAAAAAAGTAAATAACTACTACTCGCATATTCTATGTATCTTGCCTTGACAACGAGTAACGACAACGTTGCAAGAACATAGCCATACTGCAAAATGTTTTTTTTTTTTACGACAAGCACATGCATTTATCTGGGCTGTCATACTTGAAGTGAAATGAAAGCTGGGGTCAACGTTTAAAGTGCTGACATTTGAATATGTGGTGGTGAGAATGAATTTGTCAAGGTGGAACAGTTTCCTTGATTCTATAGATGAATCATGAATGTCCGCATGTTACCTTGATTTACGTACTCTGCTGTAGACGTGACACTGAAAAATAATTGCAGATTTATTTACACAATCTCACAAAACTGAAATGAAAAATTTAGCTGAAGTTACCCAAGTTCTACCCTTGAAACACGAGCTACCAGCATAAGTGTGTAGCTGAAGACGTTTGGTGTTGCACCACCAATAATAATAATAATAATAATAATAATAATAATAATAATAATAATAATAATAATAATAATAATAATAATAATAATAATATTATTATTATTATTATTATTATTATTATTATTATTATTATTATTAAAAGACATGAGTAGCCCAGCAAGCTTCAGCTGATAGCAGTTCTAGCCTAGAAAAACCAGACGGCCTTCAAGCCGGGCCGAAATCGTGGCATAGACAAAACATGCATAAATCTACAGACGTGAGTCAGATATGCCGTGTGATATGTAGAAGCAACAGGCACCAAAAGAGTGGATATACCAACATGGATGTTAAAGAATGCTTTAGCCAATGTGAAGGACAAGTTGCCGAGCAGAAATTTCCTTAGTCTAGTTTATGCCATAGGCTGACATAATTGTGACCAGTACATCGGTGAAACTGGTAAAAGTTAAACAACACAAATATGATACCACAAAACGAGGCGTGGCCTCGACTGCCCTCCCTGAACACACGGAATCACAGACCACCAAATAGACTTGTAAAACTCTCGAATCCAGATACAGACAACTGTACATACGCTGCACAGGAGTGATGGGAGGCTTCTGACAATGTACTCTCTCTGCTTACGTCACGTATTTAGGCGTACTGAAGTACACTGTGCCTTTTTCATGACTTTTAAACAAGGCTCTCTCCCATATGAGGTACTGAAATGTCAGTAAACTTTGTGTTCTATGGGTCCCTTTCGCGTTTACACTCAGAAGCAAGAGTTATGCACTGTCCTTTTTTTTTTTTTCACACACCTTCCAGCAGCCCACTGTAGTTGCAGCTGAGAGACTTTTTAAGCTTTGATGAATGGCGATGCTTATTTTTGTGACGGTCCCACAGAACTGCTGTCAGTTTTCATGACCTGGCCTGGTTTTTTTGAAATTCCCTGACTTTTCCACGTTGGCAGACACCCTGCTTTTATGTGCACTGTAAATGAACAATACATGTTTCACTAGCATTTCTCATTTGATAGTGAGACTGCTTGACAATAACCCCATCTTTCAAGCGCAACTTAGTACCACATCCCCTGTGCCCCAACGGCAGCTTAACCTGCTACAATCAATGTATTATGTGACTATTCTCTAAAGTAAGCTTCAATTAGACAACTCATTTGTTGTGTTTGCCATGGAACAGTGAAATACCTAAAATTCTTACTTGTTCGAAGTCCGCTGACAGCTGATCAAGATCTCCTGGAAATGATATTACCTCTTCGGCTATATCAAGGAAATATTCGAGCGTGCGCTCCACGACTCTAAATGCTGTCGCAGTTGCCATGCCAAAGCGTCCAGCAACGTCCCTCAGGCACGC